CATTTGCTGCTCGCAAATGCGAGATATTAGGAGCATGCGCTCCGGCTGCGGCATTCTTTTTCTTCTTGCTTTGCAAGTGTAGTGTATTTCTCATCCCGTTTGTTTTCAACGTACTTTCAGGATCCTTTTTAGGAACATGCCTCCCCGAAAAAGGACCCGCCGTGCTGCAAGCGCAGAACCCGCACGACTGCAGCTGCAGGCTGACGCGCAGCAGAACGATGCGGCGGCGGCACGCCTGGAGGAGCAGGCAACTCGCATCAGGCTGCTCGAGGCCCAAATCGAGCTCGAAAGGGCCAGGGCCCCGGAATCCCCACGCGGCAGAGGTCGCAGACGGAGACGTTCTCCGTCATCGTCGTCGTCGTCGCCGTCGTCGTCGTCATCTAGATCATCGTCGAGTGCCAGCAGTGCATCGCGGTCACCCAGCCCCAGGAGCCGGAGATCCAGGTCCAAAAAATCCAAAAAATCAAAAAGTTCCGGCAGGAAGGCTCGCCGTCATCGCCATCACTCGAGTGCTACGTCAACGGGCCCCAGTAAATGGAGGAACGTGGCGTATGAACACCAGCACTCAGTCAACGCCCGGCTCCAGGAGCGCCTGGAGAAAGTGCGGAGGGCACTAAAATCCGACCGGCTGAGGAGCGCAACGAAAAACCTAAAGAAAGGTGAGGACATTCTAGAGGACAGGCAAGAGTGGCTCGCCGTCGCCGATACCCATGGGGTAGAGGTGGCGAACAAATTTGTGGAGGGAGGGGGAATCCTCAGCATTGTGACCTCCGCCGAAAAGAGCAAGAGACTGAATGCGGCCGTGCAGTCCGTGGCCATGCAGCGGCCCTTTCGGGGGGGCATCCCATCCAGGTTCGGCAGGGGCGGGGTGGTCACCCCTAAAGCAGCCGCACGAGGGGCTGAGCAGCCACCACAACAGCAGTCACCTTCTGGGCCCAGCGAGGCACCAAGGACGCAACCGGGGAGAAACCCCATCCAGCCTGGCCCCAAAGTCTGCTTCCGTTGCGGCGAGCCAGGCCACTTCATCAATTTCTGCCAGAAGCCAGCCGCTCAGAAATAGCTCTGAGGGCTGTGCGGACGGACTCCCCCCTGATGTAATAGATGATGAAGTGTATTCGGTGCTGAGTGTTGTTGACGAGGGGTGCGTGGCGGGCTTGTGTGAATCTGACGATCAAGGGGAACTAGAGGGGCAAGGGGTGGTGGTGGGCAGTTTAGCTAGGTGCAAGCCATTTTGGGAAACTATGGGGGCATCCGAATTTGTGCTAAGGATCATTTGTGAAGGGTATCTACTCCCGTTCGTGCAGCTACCAAGGCCGAAAACTGTAAAAAATCACAGTAGCGCTCAGTGCCAATTTGATTTTGTCACAGATTCAATTAGAGACTTGATGGAAAGAGGGTGCATAAAGGAGGTCAAGAGTGAGGAGGCAATGATTTGCAGCCCTTTAGGCGTGGTAAATAATGGAAAAAAGTTAAGACTCATTTTGGATTTGAGGTACGTCAATACTTATCTGGCGAAATTTAAATTCAAAATGGAAGACCTGAAAACAGTCGCAAGAGTCTACGAAAAGGGCGACTACGTGATTACTTTTGACCTGAAAAGCGGGTACCACCACATTGAAATTGCACAGGAGCATCAAAAGTACTTGGGGTTTAAGTGGTTTAATGCGGAGGGAACTATCACAACCTATGTATTTTGCGTGTTACCGTTTGGCCTCTCCACGGCTCCTTATGTTTTCACAAAAGTGACACGTGTTTTACTGCGGCGTTGGAGGGAGTTGGGCATAAGATGTCAGCTCTACATGGACGACGGGTCTGGTGGGCACTCTACTGTCGAAGGGGCAAAGGTGGTGGCAAAACAGATGAAAGCTGACCTCTTGAGAGCTGGGTTTGTGCCCAATGAACAAAAATCCCAGTGGGAGCCATCACAAACGGTCGAAATGCTAGGCATGCGCATTGACCTCAAAGAGGGTCGAATTTTTGCGACAGAGCGCAGAGTGGCGAGGCTTAAAGAGTGCCTAGCACGGCTGAGCGGTCTAGCAGCACCACCCGCGAGGGAAGTGGCGAGGCTAGCCGGCTTCCTGTTGTCTATGTCGCTTGCGCTCGGGCCAATTTGCCGTCTGCGTACCAGGGCATTCTACAGCATGATATTGTCTAGGAGTTCTTGGTACGCCCCAGTGAAATGGCCGGATGCGGCAAGGTGCGATTTGGAATTTTGGAGCACGGTTTTTGAAGACTGGCACGGCCAACCATTTTGGAAAAACTGCCCAAAGGCAACGGTCCTGACCTGGTCCGATGCGAGCGACTCTGGCTGGGCGGATTTTTAGTAGACGGCAGTGCAGTCGAGGTAGCCAGAGGAGAGTGGCTTTTTCTTCTTGCTGTTGCTGCTGTCCCCGCAGAGGCTGTTTGTTGTTGCTGTGTGCGTGTGTACGTGGGTGTGCATGTGACTGAGGTGTGTTAGGGGTGGGAGCACGTATGGTGTGGCTGCACACAGGAGTGAGAAAGAGAGTAAAAAAGAATCTAGGGATCAGTTGGTTGAGCGACAGCGACATGTTCAGCTTTCAGGCTGTCATACCACCTGACGATATGATGATGACGAAGAGGAACATCCTCCGAAAGATCGCGACGATCTTCGACCCGCTAGGATTTCTGGCACCAGTGATCATCCGTGCCAAGATACTGATGCAAGAGATCTGGGCTAGCAGTGCAACTTGGGACGAAGTGCTTCCCGTCAAACTGAGCTCACGTTGTAGACAGTGGTTCCAGGATCTCCTTGCACTGAGCTCAATTCAAGTGCCACGCTGCTTGCAGGCCATTGCAGGCGCTACACCGCAAGATGTCGAGCTTCACGTATTTGGCGACGCATCAGAGTTAGCGTATGGTGCCGTCATCTACCAACGTATCCGCTACGCCTCCGGCGAGATCAGCACCGTATTTGTGTCTGCTAAGTCACGAGTTTCGCCAACTACCGCCACAAGCATCCCACGGCTCGAATTGATGGCTGCTGTGCTGGGAGTCGAAATGGCCAACGAAGTAGCCAAGGTGTTGCAGATCAACCCGCAGAACATCATCTACTGGACTGACAGTATGGACGTGATCTGGTGGATCCGTGGCCGGAGTCGCTTGTTCAAGACGTTCGTTGCCAACAGAGTGAGCACGATTCACCAGGCAAGCAGCCCAGATCAATGGCGGTATGTCCCTACGGCAGAGAACCCGGCTGATATTGTGTCGAGAGGATGCGCCCCAACATCGCTCACGCCGGACAGTATGTGGTGGACCGGTCCTAGCTTCATGGCCAAGCCGTCTGATGACTGGCCAGTATGACAGTTACCTACAGCCCAAGCAAAGGAAACAAAGTCCATGAAGGAGACCGTTCTGATGAGCAGCACTGAGACGGGTACTGATGATGAGGGCACAGGCGCAACGGAGCCCAGTGTTTGGAGACTGGAACCGCAGCGATACTCTGATTTGGAGCGCTTGATTCGTGTGCAAGCGTGGGTGATGAGATTTCTTCACAATGCTCGCGCGCCACACGAACGCCGCGAACTGGGTGAATTGACAGTGGACGAATTGAGTGAGTCTGAGTTGATGCTGGTGAAATCAGCGCAAGAGTCTGAGTTCCGAGATGAGATCAAGGCCATCAAGAAGGGACAACCTGTGAGTTCCCAGAGCAAGATTGCAGCACTCCATCCACAGTTAGATGACAGTGGTTTGCTGCGTGCAAGGAGTCGTCTTCAGTACGCGGACTTCTTGCCCTCTGACACGATCTCACCGATCATCCTTCCCAGGACGCATCCAACGACTAAGCTTGTGATCACGCGGATCCATGGCAACGATCATCACGCACTCGGCAACAATCAAGTTCTGAACGAGTTAGTAAAGCGGTTCTGGGTTGTCGGTGCACGCGAAGCAGTCAAGGAAGTGGATCGTCAATGTCCTGAATGCCAACGCCGAAAGGCCAAGCCTGCTAAGCAGCTCATGGCGCCACTGCCAACACTCCGGATTGAACCCGGCACCCGTGCGTTTGAAAGGGTTGGAATCGACTTTGCAGGACCGATGTACACCAAGCAGGGACGCCGAGCGCAGGCAAAGAGATGGCTGTGCATCTTCACCTGTCTTGCCACACGCGCTATCCACACCGAAGTAGCGTATGGTCTTGATACTGGAAGCTTTCTGAACTGCTTCTTCCGAATGGTCGGACGACGAGGTGCTCACTGACAATGGCACGAACTTTGTTGGTGCAGTAACCAAGCTACGCGAGTTGAGAAGTGAACTGGACGAGAAGAAGATCATCAAGGCAACCAACGGTCAACGGATTCGGTGGCACTTCAACCCACCCGCAGCACCGCACTTCGGAGGACCATTTGAGGTCATGGTGAAGGCTGCCAAACGAGCACTGTACGCCATTCTGAAGTCAGGTGACATCACAGATGAGGAGTTAGTGACGGCAACGATTGGAGCAGAACACCTGATCAACAGTCGGCCCTTGACAACGGTATCTTCAGATGCCAGAGACTGTACTCCTATCTCTCCAAGTGACTTGCTGCTAGGCGACGCGAGCCACAGTATTGATGTACCCGGTGATGACCCAGCAGCTAGCCTGAGGAGACGCTGGAGACGAGTCCAGGAGCTGGTCAGACATTTCTGGGCAAGATGGATGCAAGAATGGCTGCCCATGCTGAGTGGTCGTGCCAAATGGAAGAAACCCTACAACAACGTGCAAGTCGGTGATGTCGTTATCCTACTCGCCAAAGACACACCACGTGGTCAGTGGCAGCTGGGACGAGTTGTCGATGTTCACCCAGGACGTGACGGGCTGGTACGAGTCGTGGACGTAAAGGTGAAGAACACCACGCTACGTCGCCCAATAAGCAAGATCTGCCCGCTGGAAGCATATCAGTGAGTTACTGAGTAGCAACAGCATTGGACCATCGCCATTGAAGTATGGTCATGTCTGTTCAGTCTCTTGCTTCTCTCTTGCTTCTCTCTTGCTTCGCACATGTTCTTTCATGTTGTTTTCATTTCTTGTTCCGTTGCCTATCATCTTTTTTTGATTTTTTGTTTTTTTGTTTCTCTTTGCTTGAGCACTAGCAACTCAGGCAATCTTTTCTGTTTTTCTTTCATTTTTCCGCTTCGAGTGTTGGTGATGTATCTCTCCGTAGACACATCAGGAAGGGGAGAATGGCGTGGCGAGAATGCCACGGAGTTCAGTCTACACGTTCATGTCATGTTCAGTTGCGATCTGCTTTCTCTTCCTGATTGCCATTGCGGTCATGCTGTCTGTTCTCTGTGATTTGACCTTTATCTCCTGGCATCTTACTGTCTTCATGTGCTCCCCTTGGGGGCACCTTGATGCCTGATGTAATATCGAATTTGTACAGCGGGCTACCATTTAGGTTCCGCTGCGGTCGGTTTTGCTGAGCCAGCCTTGGCACCGTGTAGCCTTTTTGGTTGTTGTGTTCTTGTGCGTGCGGCATGAGGTTTTTAGCTGTACCTTTGTTTGGCTGCGCTGCCTTTTGGTTTCCAGAGAGTTTTTCTTTGCACATGTAGTTTTTTTAGAACGAAATAGTCGGTTCGTGACATGGCGTTCTACTTCTAATCAACCATAAAGTCTTTTGTGTTGTGAGTGACTCCGTCGAGTGTGAGCTTGGTATACGGCCCATTACGGGACTGCGTGCGGCAGAAGCCTAGCGAAACACCAACCAGTGAATACAATTATTTCTCCAATAGACATACGAATAGATTTCTTCTACAGCAAAAGATTCTAAGCCACACCGACTCATTGACTCGTCTCGTATGAAACAACAGAGTCACTAGAGAGGTTCTGCAAAACGAAAATGCGTACAAACTTTCCCTCTACATCATGAAGTGCGAAACTTCGCATGAACTTTCGCAACTTTGGAAGCGAAACTTGCAGGGAACGCGAAATGAACTGTCGTAGGAAATTTCGTGAGATCGGGTCATGGCGTACGCGCACTTGGCCCGCGCAAACTACGAAAATGTGCAGAACGCAAAGTTCGTGCAAAAATTCGTACACACTTTCGCAAGGACTGTCGTGAAACTTCGTTCGAATTTTCGCTTTGCAGAACCTCTCTACTGAACCTTTCTTTAGCAACATGACGGCAACTGAAACAGCAACAGAGAAAGTACGATACATATACTGCACATTCTTGCAGGTACTACAGGTACTACAAACAGATTGCAGATCGTAATTCTTGCTTTGGCGGCACGAAACTTTATTTGGGGCAGTGCAATCTCGGCGGTACTCACAAATCAAACAGCCCAGACTCAAGTAAACAAATGCACTGGTCTGCGTTGTACTATCCACTGGATGGAGCAGAAGATCTGCACTGGTCTGCGTTGTGCTATCCACTGCAATCATACAAGTACGAGATTTTCACGAGACCAGACTGCACCCATTGGCTTATTTCGTATGAAGCAAACAAGTTACTGAACCTCTCCACAATGGAGATTTTCCCTGATATGCGGATTTATTTGGCAAACTCGGTCAATGAGTCATTGAACCTTTCCCTCCAGATTGGGAACTGCCAACGATAGTATGCCAGTGCCTTACTTGTAACGTACTAACGTGCAATGAATATGAGTATTTCGACACCACATCTAACATAAGCCTTACCATCAAGAAGGTGAACTCGCGTTCTTCGCACACTGTAGGCAAGGGCAAAGAGATACGAATGGATCTAAATCCGAATAAAATCAGCACACGTTTCCGTAAATGAAAGGGTGAGCATAAGCAAATGAATTGAAGGAAACTGGTCAACTCAGAGATCACCTGTCATTGAGTATTCCGTAAAAGGAGGCCTCGGCAGCGAAAAAGCTAAATTTAGATAGGAGATCCTGTCAGCTTTTCCATTATTTATTGCATTCCGTCCAAAATCAGCACACTTTTCGTAAATGAAAGAGTCAACACAAGCAAATGAATCAAAGGGAACTGGTCAACTCACCTGTCATTGAGTAATATTCCGCGAAAGGAGGTCTCAGCAGCGCCGAAACGAAATAAGCCAGGCCAGGAAACGAAATATCCGAAACAATTCATGCAAGAAGCAGTTCCAAAGAAGGAAGTTCCTCGTGCATGCACATCCGAAAAGGCAACAAGAAAAAGTCTGCAATGCACACGCATGCGGCCAGCCAGCCGCGCGATGGTAGGAGCCATGGAGTAGCTCCCTGGTCCAGGACCAGGTACCGAGCATCTTACGTAGCAAATTACGTAGCTACGTAGACAACGTGTCTGAATAGCGGTGTCGCTAGGTAGCGCCATGTGAACACAATAATAGAAAAGCTGACAGGATCGCTTTTCTAAATGTCTGGACGACACATGTACAGCACATTCTTGCAGGTTCTACAAACAGATTGCAGATCGTAATTCTTGCTCTGCCGGCACGCAACTTTATTTGGGGCAGTGCAATCTCGGCGCTACTCACAAATCAAACAGCCCAGACTCGAGTAAACAAATCCAATCGTACGACATTTTCACGAGACGAGACTGCACCCATTGACTTGTTTCGTATGAAGCAAACCAGTCACTGAATGCATGAACCTCTCCATAATGGACTCGGTTTTCCCTGATATGCGAATTTATTTTGCATACTCGGCCAATGCTTTCCCTCCAGATTGGGAACTGCCAACGATGCTATGCCACTGCAAAATTCAGATTCTACCCTATGATCGGAGCACGGAATGCCGGAAGCAATCATGACCAGTGCCTTACTTGTAACGTACCAATGTACAATGAACATGAGTATTTCAACAACACATCTAAGCCTCAGCAGCAATATACAATGTAAGCCTTACCGTCAAGAAGGTGAACTCGCGTTTTTCGCACACTGTTTGCAAGGGCAAAGAGATACGAATGGATCTAAATAAAATCAGCACACGTTTCCGTAAATGAAAGGGTGAGCATAAGCAAATATTAAATGAATCGAAGGAAACTGGTCAACTCAGAAATCACCTGGCATTGAGTATTCCGTAAAAGGAGGCCTCGACAGCGGAAAAGCTAAATTTAGAAAAAGAGATCCCGTCAGCTTTTCCATTATTTATTGTATTCCACCTAAAATCAGCACACTTTTCGTAAATGAAAGAGTCAACACAAGCAAATGAATCAAAGGGAACTGGTTAACTCACCTGTCATTGAGTAATATTCCGTGAAAGGAGGTCTCAGCAGAGCCGAAACGAAATAAGCCAGGACACGAAATATCTGAAACAGCTCATATCATGCAAGAAGCAGTTCCAAAGAAGGAGTAGTTAGTTCCTCGCGCATGCACATCCGAAAACGGACTGCACTGCATGCAACACAATGTCTGCCG